AAGGAGGTATTTATTGGGCGAGAAACAGGCGATTTGAATTTAGCTCAGAGGCGTCATTTAGGCTTGAGGATCTTTTACATGCAAGTAAATCTACGAACATGGGACAGCCGGCTTTACTTCCCCTCCGAAGGAAGGCGTACGAAGGATTTTTTCGCCCTTAAAAATCCATGGCTTCGATCGGGTTTGAACCCGCCAAATTGGGTACAACAGTCCAGTACGCTAACCGTTACACCGCATGTTATTCTTCTCGTAAACGTGAAGACAATCCCGTCAATTTCACAAAGAAACAATCAACCAAGGAAACATTTTTGTGCCGAAAATGTTTCCTTGGATAAGGATAATTTTGGTTAATGATAATTTTGTATCTTGCAAAAGATTCAAAGATCACTCAGGTTAAAAATACTTCCAAACAAAAGCTGGTAATAATAAATGTGATTAATAGGCATGCAATAAAACATGTGCCACACACGCATTGCTAATGGCGCATTCCGAACGTGAAGAGTTGGCTTTGTTTTGCGTGGATTTGCGTACGTGTTTCCACTAATGACGTTTTCAGCGCTACTTCCTCGTGGGTCTCCAAGAGTCCTCTTAACGCATCGACCGGCTCAACCGCCACTTTCGCTATCATCATTACAGCCTTCACCACCCCCTTGACCTCCCCCTTCACCGCCTCCTTCACCGCCACCGCCACCTTCACCGCCACCTTCACCGCCACCTTCACCGCCACCTTCACCGCCACCTTCACCGCCTCCTTCACCGCCTCCTTCACCGCCTCCTTCACCGCCTCCTTCACCGCCTCCTTCACCGCCATCGCTCCATCACTTCCACCATCGCCATCATTGCCATCACTGCCAATAATATTGCATCACTGCTAATATATGCCACCACTCTAGCCACTGCCGCTTTCCCCCGCCACCATTCGTATCAATGTTCCGTCTTTTGTCCCCGCTTATACATCTTACTGCTCCAGATCGTCGCCGCCTCCTTTTTTGCCGCCGCCCCAGTCACCACTGCGGACACTATGAACAAAGCGTTGAATTCGCCGAAGCACATGGATATTTTATTTATTTATGTATTTGATTGTTTTGTACGTTGTTCAGTTTTTGATAACTTTATATATGTATTAATGACTTATAACTTAACTTATCCTAACTTAATACTACTACAGAAGTTGAGGAAACCATAATGGCACCTCATAAGAACTATTCCAGATCTGAGAACAATTTACAAAATATATGGAATTATATATTTATTTTTTATGCGAGTGGGATGGATTGGGTTTTTGCAAAGTTTGAATGAAGATACAGTTTGGATTTGGTGTATATTTGAGATGAAATTGTGAGATAAGTAAGTGATGTGGTGCATGATGAGATCGAGGTTGAATTCATTATGCAATTGATGATTAGATACCACATGGACATTGCCATCGCCAACACCATCAACCACCACCAACTTTGTCTCTGCCCTTCCCTGCTGCCGTCCTCCGACCCCTTGCACTTTCCAGTCCCAACAGACGACTCCGCCCCCTGTCCCCTACACCTACCCCCACCCCACATGCCCGTGACTAGTCCCCGTGCTTGCCGTCCGACCTCGTCCCCACCGCCGCTCTCGCGCACCCGCCTCCGCGGGCATGGCCCAGAGAGTAGCCGGTCCGTGGCAGGCGCACTCTTGCGCACGCTGTCTGGGCCGATGGCGTGGAGCGCGGGCAAGGAGCTGAGCGCGGCGGCGGCGTGGGCGGCGTGGGTGGTGGCGTGGGCGGCGGCGCTGCCGGGCCGCGTGCGCGGGTGGTGGCGGGCGCGCCGCATGGCCCTGCGCTTCCCGTGCGAGCGCCCGCTGCCCCTGGCTGGCCACCTGCTGCACTGCGGCCTCTTCGCCCCAGGTGGGTCGCTCGCACCGCTCGCACCGCTCGCACCGCTGGCGCTCTGCGGAGCCTACAGCGCGGAGACCACCAGTAGAGTTGTTTCCTCTCTCCTACGATAATCGATTGTATTTTACAGTGATTAAAATCGGTTATTTTTCAACTGATTAATATATTCATCATCAAATATTTAGTTCGAGTTTTTAATGGAAATATTTATTTTCAAGGCAAACAAAATATAACTATTAGTGCTACAATAGTACGTACTTTTTCACATTATTTCTTTATTTGCAATTTTCGAACATTCCCATATATTATAGTAGAAAAATATGGAGTGGTTTTTGAGATTTTTTTTAAAAGTTGGGTTTCTTTGACCAGTTTTATTTTAGACAGACTAATATCATAATTTTGAAAACCAAAATGTTAATAAAGCGCCTTAATTTAGGTTTGAAAATTTATTGAAATGTGTTGGTTAAAATTTTCTGAATAATTACTATCTCTCTACTCACATTTGGAGGAGTACTTTTCCTCTTCTTCATGTCTTTTATATATAAAACCGAAATTCCTATGAACTAAATTACAATTTGTCTAACGTAAGAGTTTAGGAAAACGTAATTAACTAAAGTACATCACATTTTTCTAACTTAAGCTAATATGTTTAAATTAAAATGTGTAAGTTACAATAATTATATACCAAGTACAAATGAACACACCTTAACAAACTATGTCATTCCTTTTAAAAATATATTTGTAATATATGCAAATTATTGCATTTTGTAAAACAGCAAACCCTCATCAACACCATCCATGGTGTTGGAAGCCAAACTCAGCAGAAGAATGGGGGAGGGGACAAACTGGTAGATATTTGAAATTTTGGATTAGAACTTTTGAATTTAAGAACGAGACAAAGAAATATGATTACAACCTAAAGCCAATCAGAGGATAATGAAAATGTTTTTTATAAATTACATTTGATTCTAAAAGATATGACGTGGAAACTACTGTTGTTATTTTTTTTCAAAAATATTGTGCATGCCCTTTTCAAAGAGCTAATGTTTTAAAATAGATTTTATTTTCGCCAAAAATCTCTATCTTTAAATTCCGTGGTGGTAGCAGATATCTTGTGGTAATCCATATATGGTAAAGGAAATAATCTCTACAAAAGTTTTTTTTCTAAACTTTTGTGGAGATTATTTCCTTTACCATATTCTCTATCTTTAATTTTATTAGTTTTGAAATGTTAATTATTTGCAGTTTTCCGAAATTCAGACGGTTTGTCGAAAATGAGACTAGCGCCATATTTTTAACTTCTTTCGATACATGGGAAGAGAAAGTTTAAATAAAATTTTTTGAGACGTCTTTGATAAAAGAAATGTGTAGAAAAATTAAAAATTGCCTACATTTCACGCGAACTTAGACGAAATATATTCATAATTTTGAAAAATCGTACACGTAATTATTTTCAGATTTGTCTTCAAGAACAGATTTTATTCAGGTAAACAATTCCTATCTTCAATATTGTAGTTGTATGAACATACCAAAAACATTTGAAGTTTTCCATATTTCGAAAATCTGACATTTTAACGAAGATGAGACCAGCCATATTCTCTTGAACGTCATTTACGTTATCTGAGAACAAACTTTAATAAAAGAATGTGGTGACATTTTTTAGGAATGTTGAGGCTTCGTGTATAGTATCTCCAAAAATCAAAATATCCCCTAAATAGAAACTGTAACAAATTGAATTTATTGTCTGTTTATCTGTCTCTAACCTCAGAAAAATAACAGATGCAACCATAAGCGATTGATTTAATATTAGCTCAACTGTCACTGTGAATGTTATAATATTGTAGTTGTAGGATATTTAATAATTACACTTTTATTTTTGTTTAGTTAGTACAAAATAAAAATGAATGATTCCAATGTTTCGGGCATTATTTAAATAAGTGAAAAATTAATCGATAATATTATATTGATGGATAATTTCAGCTGTCTCAATATCTGTGACAGAATCAACTTGAAATATATAAGGCAGGTTTTATTAAATTATTTTCACGAAGTAATTACAAAAGAATTTCGAACGATCGGTTAGATTCGGCAGGTGCGTAGTTGAGCTAAGCTGGGGTCTCGAGTTCCAGATTTTGATGAAATGCTCATTTTGCTGGTCGTAGTGTCGGGAAAGTTTATTTTAAGCGATGTACACCTCTCTGTGCTTCTTTTTATGCCATTCATTCTCACTCGACGTCGACTATGAAGATTGCGTTAGGATTTGTACAAAAAATTTCGGCTCAGTGTTTGCTTGGAAAGTTTGCTCCTTTTTACTCAAACATCGTGAGTTTGAGTAACTTCCACGTCTAATATCTCACATTTCTGCTTTCACATATTGGGTTCCAGTGTTTTGAAGGTCATATTTTTAAGACCTTCAGGAATAGTTAAGAATCAGACACAATAAATACAGAATTGTTTAGCATCTTTTTTCACAGACATTTCTTGCATTACGTTTTGAATAAATTATTTTTTCTGTGTAAAACATAAACTCCCCTCAAGTGTCAGAGTAACTGTGCCGCCTTAAAATGTTTCACATTTTTTGTCTACTTACTATTGTGCTTACAATGTACTGCAAAAACATCAACGCAGAATAACTATTTTTGGAATTATTCTTCTTTTAAGATGGAAATTAATTCTGATTTAATTCTTTTAATTCTTGGAGAATAAATTTATTATGATTCGTTTAACACGTGTTTTTTGAAACCTAATAACGAATGCGAATTGCATTTAACCTTGTTTCCATTCATATTAAATATCAAATTCTTCTCACTGAATTTATTTTCATTTTCGCAATTTATTTTGAAAAAGAAGTGTAACTATGGTGGAAATGAAATATGCAATTAAAAAAAGCTCAACGAAACCATGGTGCGCTAAATCAATTGTCTTAAAAAATATTCCTTCATTTTTGTCTTTCTGATACATATTTTTCAATTCAAGATATATTAATTATTCATGTATATTTTCAATTTGACATTCTTGTATGAGACGTTTTTCAAAAGATAGCCTGGAAAACATAACGATAGCTCTTTCTACTCCCATATTTGGGTCTAGTATGCCTGCTAATGCCGTTATCACGCCGTCTCCTTTGTTGCAGTTTCCGCCTTGATAGACTATTTTCTTTCTGAGTGCGTGCGCTTACGCACAGGCCGGGCCCAGTTCGGCCCTTTCACGCACATATTCATCGCTGATCCGAGGGACGTGCAGGTGAGTGCGTAACGCACATTGTTATCAAGTTATTGCATAAATTTATTACGTAATCGATCGCCCTTTAATTCAGGTGTTCGTGTCCAACGCTAAGAACCAAGACAAGACGTTTCTGTACAGATTCACCGCCGAAGCCATTGGTGAAGGCCTTGTCTCAATATCAGGTAATGAAGAGATTGTGTTAACTTTAAGTTAGTCGCACCAAAATACATGGATTGCAATGTTCAGTCTCGTTATATTTCAATATATGATTGCAGTGTTGGGTCTCGTTATAATCGTACGTTACCTTTTTGTTGAATGATATACAAAATTAAAATACTCTAGAAATTTATACAGAAGAATCTATACGTTACACCGAAAACCAAAATAGTTATTTAAGTACAGAAAGTGTACATCTTTGGCGTACAAACGAAATGTTGACGGGTAAGGTGAGGAAAGGAGACGAGTGCAGCATTTTGAAAGAGTATGCCAAATACACTTTCATTCTAGTTACATCAATTTTTAGCGTGAAATTATGGGAACTCACAAGTAAATAATTTTGGTTACATTCTCCGTATTCGAGGAGGCAGTCATGTTGATCCATGTCGCCCAAATATATATAAACACATATATACACACGGATTATATGCGTACGCCAAAGTCCTACTTCCTGTATCCACACCGCAAAGAAACGCTTTACAAAACACTAAACAGTGTAAGTACTACTTTGAATGCATGAGTGCTGAAAACTTTATTTTAAACTTCAATGAAGAGTTTTCTGATCTATGGCATTTAAGAATTATTCTATGCGCTTTCCTCATTGCAGTTGACCTATTTTGGACACGTTTTGCTTTCCGACGACCTTGGACCTCCGTCCAAAAGTCCAAGTATTGCAGACTATGTCGTTTTTTGCATATGTTTCTTACCTCAGAAAAGCCAAGCTGATTCTCACGGGGGATATCTCAGTGAACGTATGTAGAAGCGTCCTGATTTTTTCCCTTACAGAGGCATCATGTTTAAGTCAAAGGTGTCAAAGTCCTGGAGGAACAGACTTTTTTACGGCCGAGAAAACATAAGATGTGAGTGGAGTCTCGGCAATCTCCGACTCTAATACGACTGTTACTATTATTGGCGTAAATCGATTGGCAAAAGATCGAGCGCCAGCGATGTACCTGCACTATTGATTTCTTAAAAAAATAATTTAATTCAATCTATACGAAATTATTATTTACTTACTTTCGAGTAATAAAGCCCATCTTATTCGTTTTGGTATGTTACGACATCAACATTGCTTTCAGACACACATCTTGTAAAATTAAAATAAATGGAACGATCAGTTCTTCAGCAGAACTTTCCGAGAGTTTTTCGAAAAGTATTTGGTTGTCGTTAGGCTGTAAAGTCCTTGTTGCTTGCTAAATGGCCTTATGAGTCATTCACATGTACCAGAACAAAAATTTTAGTTGACTTCATTGTTTCGGCTTACTTTAGATGGAATATTGAGTCCAAAACTATTGTATCTTAAAAACGAAGCTATTAACCCCACTGCTTTGTAGAAACCTCCCTAAAAGTTACGTTACGTTACTTATTTTTATTAGGATACATAAAAATTTTGACCTTTGTCATTTTCAGCAACAACTAAATCGAACTGGCGCGGCGGATAATATGGGTATTGTGGGTGGCTACGAAAAATTCCGACTGGGTAAAATACCCATTCAGAATTTTGGTAAGAGAAATATTCCATAAACGTCAAATTCCAGAAATAAACGAAGTTTCTCGGTATTGCGGCGACTCAAAAGGCATATGTGAGCAACTACGTTGCAAGATCGGCTCAACAGTACCACGATTTTACATGTTTAAAGCAACATGACAGACAAAATCGATTTGGAGAAATTGTTAAATGAGTTTGTATCAAAATATGCAAATCTCATCGATGTTTTTGCATTGCAAAAATGAACAGCTGAATTTACATAAAATGAATATGATAACAATTTAATGATAAACATGACACTTTGAAAAATTCTGTTTTGTATTTTTCTCTTTGTTTAAATTAGCGGTGGGTGATAACCTTGGGGGGGGGCGGGGGGGCGCCCTCTCCCTCTCCCTCCGAATACCCTCTCCGATTTAATACCAATCGCCGACCCTGAGATGTTCGAGATGTTCATTGGTTATTGCAATTATTAAATCATTCTGTACAACTTTCTACACTCTGACATACCTACATGCTTTAAAATTAGGGACATCAAAAAGTTTTACTAACTGTATAAAGTACATGATGAGGAAAGAATTAGAAATATCAAGTACCCAAGATAATATTCTTGTAAAGTGGTCTCCCTCTAAATTACCTCACAAACTTGCTTTTTTAAGTTTTATATTCGTTATGAAAGAAGTGCTTCTGAGATATGTTGAAAATGGTTGGCAGATTAATACAATTTTATGTACAGTTTCGGATGTTTTTAGATGTCATAGTAGTTCTCAAATTTTCAATAGCACTTTAATAAATTCTTCGTTAATGTAATTACCTGTCTTTCATTAAAACGTGCTGTGGAATAATAAAATGAACCCTTTCAAATGGTTTTCCAATATTTTTAGTGGAACTTTTAAAATATGTTTTTAAAATTATTTAAATTTGAAAGCGCATAAACTACGCAGGCCATGAGCGACCAATACATTAAATTCAATGACAATTCTGAGAAAATATCAATATTTTTACAAAATAGTTAAAATAATAAAATAACTGTTTCTTGATAAGTTGGCGACGATAAAATTGCATTGAAGTTATTGCTTCTTAGGTATTCTTTTCTCTCTTGATTGTGAATGAAGCATTCTAGAAGGATGTTGTTTAGTATTGCAGGTACAGGTGAGCTGTAAATGAATTTTTTCATTTAAAACTTTATAATTGAAAATGATTTGTTTTAAATCTTGTCAGAGCACTTTGATCGTGCCGATTAATTGAGGAATTTCGTACAAGTCCAAAGAAGTTAGTTTTATTTTTATGAACTTTCCTTTTTTAATTTTGCTTTGTTACGTGCCTTTGTATATTTCATTTATTTTCAATGTATTTTTAAATATATTGAACTCTTTTCGGAGGAGTGATATTGGTGCATGTTTGTTGTGGCTCTTTTATCTTCGATCGTTATTATTCACAAATTATGTATTTCTCCCCAAGGTAAAATATGAAATTAATTATTATTTACATTTTATTGTGAGGAAATGTATCGTGAGAGTCTATCATTTAGACTTCCAGAATTAAAGAATGCAATTTCAAAAAATATTAACTGAAACTGTTGCATTTAATTTTTTTAATGTCGCCTTGAGAACGATGCTTTGACTATCAAATATGAATGCAAAGGGGCAAAATGGAGACGTCACCACAAGATCATCGCACCAGCGTTCTTTTCGGATGTCCTGGAGTCGTTTGTCTCCGTCTTCAACCGCCATAGTGATGCTTTTGTGGAGAACCTTCGTAATCACGCCGATGGCAATCCGTTTGACGTGGAACCAGAATTGGAAACCCTGGCGTTCTCTATCATATGCGGTAAGTTGAGGTGATGAATTGTTTCGTAGGTTCGTGACGACAATGTTGTGATTTAATTTTTTTTTCTTTTCCAGAAACCGCCATGGGAATTCGAATGGGCTCTGAAACCGACAAAGATAGACAATATTACAAAGCATTAGAAGTGTAAGTGAAGACGAACGCCTTGCCAAATAGATGTAGATGCATTTTATTCTATTTTTTCTGGATTGAAAATAAATTCAGTACCTACAATAAATTTTGGTTTATCCCCTCTATGTGAAGATCAGATATTGTAGGCTAGATGATTCTAGATTTTTTTTCTAAAGCAAAGGGTAAGAGCATTCAAAATTTTGGTGACGGTTCTTAGATATCATGACAATTAGTATGGTCAAAGGATTAACAGGTAGGGAGAAATTTCTTGATTTATTACGGCGGTCTAAGTGTCTTTTGGGAAACGTTATTAGGAGTTTGTTTTTCCTGGAGGTCCAGGGTTAAAACTGGAGGTGTAGGGGGAAAAGATGAGCAATGTAAAGAATTCTTGGGATAAGTGAGACATTATGCAATAGTGAGGTTCCGCAGTTTGTGGTAAACTGCTTAAGTTATATAAACCATCCAGCTCTTCTTTTTCGATTCGCTGTGAAGTATCAATTAGAATGTCTTTAGCTTAATTTTTAGTCCCATCTTTTTAACAATTTGTGTTATATTTGAGTTAGGTTCGTTTGCGTTTGCCGTTATGGGGCTAGCGTTTGTCGTACTTTTGATTATTGAACAAAGCGTGTGTCAGTTAAATTGTTTTATATATTATTGTAACCGTTTATATTTTAAGAATGGATTTTTGTTATTTGTATAGTGCATATATCATTAAACAAACAGATTATTAACGGAAATCGTTTAAATACCAGAGATATTGACACAAAGATGCCGACCCACAATAATGACAAAGTTGTATGAATAATGTGCGTACTATAAAGGATGTGTTAGATGTTAAATTAACCGATGGATGTCTACAAATAATAATAACAGGTGTGCAAGGTAGGCGAGCAGTTAAGTTACATTTAAATCCTTTTACCGAGTTCTAACGTTTATATCAAAATAAAAACAAAAGAAACCAGTGCAGAGTGTGAATAATATGTAAGGATTTTTAAAATCTATAGTATGTTATAGTCATTTCTTCTTGTCATATTTGAACTTTCCTTGCCAATCAATCGAAAAAACTTCGAATGTTATGAAGAAACAAAACTGCTATTTCTCTGGAAAGAATAGTTAGCACTAATGTAAACCTTACTCCACAGATGGTCTGAACTCCGCAAATTCACAGACAGAAACACGTTAATAACGAAAAGACACAGCCGGATATCTATTTAACAGGCCTCTATGTGCTCTTCTCGTCAGCACTCTTTACTAAAATGGCGCTCGGCAAGACAAAGTCACGTGACCCGAGCGCTGCGTGCCCCGCAGGGCGACGCGGGAGATCGTGGAGCGCATCCAGCGCCCCTGGCTGTACCCGCAGTGGCTCTACCGCCTCTCCGCGCGCGGCCGACGGGCGGCGGACGCGCACGAACTCCTCCGAAGGGCGCAAGGCGAGGTGAGTGCTATCGAAGAGCCGGCCCAGAGCCTGTTTTACACGATCATTTTTTCATCGTTTTTTTTCTCGTACAGAAAATGATGCAGACCAGACTATACGTAATTTGTACGAAAAAATGACGCATGCTTAATTTTTCGGTAGAGATTTCATCCAATTTGACTACCGCGCTCCTGGCGGCACTTTGCGGGACTTTCTCTGGTTTGTAATGCGTGTGGAGTGATATGTTCATTTTGTAGTTGCGTGAGAGCATTCTGATGTGTTGAATTGTATTGTGAAGTGGTTATGTAATGAGAAATAAATTATGTGCAGTCTAATATTGTCGCATCCGTGCTCAGTCCTAACTTAATTTGTTACCACAGATGCGATGTTCAAATGTTTGAACTTCAGCGCTGCATGCGGCGTCCGGAGGAAGTATTTTCTTCATGATTACGTACAAAGACACAAATGATCGTGTAAAACGCTGGAATCACTCTTTTCCAGTTTCGGCGCCGAAACATACTGCGTAGAAACGAACGTCCTTTTTCCATCCACTTTCTGTACAGAAAAAATGATGAAGAAAGGATGCAAAAATTACCGTGAAAAACAGGCTTAAGAAGAAGCCGAAATGACCGTTCGCTAAACAAGCGAACGTCACTTGTACTTCAGGGAAGTATTCCTCCACCGCGATATCTGTCCAATGTAAAATGCCTCTTTGTAAAATGTACATATTTGTGCATGGCTTCCGTTAAGTCATCATGGCTTCTCATGATTCACAACCGTGTCATTATATAAAAAAATAAATTTATGAAATGCATAGCGCGGAACCACGGAAAGCTCTCGATCAAATCTCGCCTCCTTACCGCCAGCACGAGCTCCATCAAGCATTACACATTCACGAATCGGTTTTAAAATGAACTTAATACGTGTCACACAAAAAGTAAATTTAATATCGTGTTTATAAAACAGAGATTTTGCAGAACAGAAATAGCATTGCACTGCCTAATTTCAATTACTTCTTGTAACTCTCTATATTTTCGTCGGATGAGTACGTCACAAAAGAAAGCGTTGAATCCATTTACAACGTAGCCAACTGCAAATGAACGAATGAAGGAAGGAAAGATGAATGGGTTCAAGGACACAACGACCACATAATCTTCAGTTATGAGACAGCACTAGCTGTCCTTTCTTATAAAAATTGCTCTACATCCACGGAAACACAAAGAATGAGGTGCTCAGGATAATACCCGCAGATACCAACCGACCTCGCATTTTGTGTGAGAAGTAAGACGGTAAACTACTGCTATATATCTGTCATATGATGAAATATCAAATGAATTGGGGTATGGCAAAGCCCTCAAATTCCACCTTCAAAAGTTTGTTCGAAATGAAAATGAACGTGAACGAAAAGAGAAAAAGGATCTTTTTTTCTGAAAACAAACTTCTGGTGAGATCTGCCGTTATTATTTTGAGCGACTCACATGTCTCCTTGTACAATGCTCCCTCTAGGGAGTTTGATACACCTGCTGGAAAATATGTAATTTGTCCTTTTAATCCTTGTTACTTGATAAGGATTGAATTATTTTCCGGACACGTCAACTGCTATTCTCTTTAATCCCGTTTGTGTGGCGAGACTCTTTATCGCGGGAGGTGGCGGTGTTCTTTCCCCGGTAGGAGAAATCTGGAGTCTGCCCACACGTCCACTAGCGGGTGGTTTTCGTCTCCAGGTATCTCCTCTACCGGGTAGCTTTCCCAGAGGGAACGAGCATTAAGTAGCTGACTAATTTCCCGACATGTAGTTAAGGACACCAACTGATGTCACTGTAGTGCGTCTGAGCGGGAGGTCCTACGGCTCCAGTCCTTACAGTGGCCGGATTTTCAACTCTAGCTACATAGCTAGGTCGAATTCAGTCAGTCTCTGAAGGATAATTCAAGGAGCTGGCTGAACCTGTACTGTTCCGTGGTTTCTCCTATCAACAGCAGACGAAGGCCGGAGCAGTACCGTAACCAATGGGTTTCGGACCGCGTGCGCCATTTTCTTCCTGTTCCTTGCACTGTTCTCACCCTTTACACTACCACTGCCGGGGTACCAGTCGGGAGCTCAGAGCTTGTTCCGACTGGGGCGTTGTCCCGTTGGTGGGATGTCTGGTTGGGGAAAACCTGTAAGCCGACGAGTAAGTCGACGCCGGGACTCGCTATGCAACGGGACAACACCACCAGCACTTCCTGCAATAAAAATACACTACACTTACAGGACTAAATATCCTAGGCGTTGATGCGCCCGAAAACGTTAATCAATCAATCCTGATGTGTAGTTGGGGTTTAGTGCATGTAAATGTAAGTGTAAATCTAGTATAGGGTAAGTGTAAGAGTGTGTGTGTGTATGCGTGTACTCAATGTGTGTGTGTAAGCGCGCCAGTGTTTCTGTTAGTCAGTGTGTATGTCTGTATGCCAGTCAGTGTGCAAGTGTGTATGAAAGTGTGTCATTGTAATGGGAAAGGATGGGATAAAGAAGAGAAAGGTAGGATTGCGCGCGACCCACAACTCATTTGTTAGACTATTGCTCTAGCATCGCCTGGTATTGAGTAGCGTGATAACAGAAAACTGCTTCTCTGAGCGGAAAAATGCTAAAACCAAATTTATATAATGCATTGACACGGTCATAGAGATGTACTGATTCTTCGATTTACAAACATATTGGACCACACCCCGTAAGTTGTAGCATGCAGATATCTCGGAAATATTATTTTCTTTCTTCAGGTCTGTTGTAACTGTGCATGTTACTATTTACATTTGTAATGTTGAAACATACAAATAATGTACGTATAAAGTGGTTAACAGTCTAAAGAAAAAATACATTTTTAACACACGGTGCGTGAAACACGGTTTTCGTGCTTGTTTTCCGTGTGCAAAACAGATGATTTTTTCAGTGTGTAAAACATCGCGAAGAGTGTGCAAAACATCTGTAAAAATTCGTTATTGTCTTTCGTCTTGACGTCTTTGTTTATTGTTTACAAATAAGTGTTATGGCAGACTGGAATACATTCACTTTTGTACACGTAAGGTATTTCTAGTTATTTGAAAATTAATTTGTATTCCTTTACCTGGCGCATTGCGTTTCGTTCGGAGCGTGTTAAAAAAAATAGTATACGCAATAAGCGTACGAGGCGAGTCCCGCACCGTTCTTTTTGTCGTCCTCACTACGTTCGGACGACAAACTCGACTCGTTCATGAACCACCTGTTTTCGCCGTAGTTTCATAAACTATTATTCCGAAACAGGTGGAAAGTAGAATCTGTAATACCATTAATCGATGAATATTAATAGGAAATTTAATGTTTGAAGTTCTTTATTATCTATTTCATCAAGCCAAACAGATTATAGTAAGTACCTACTAGAGTACCTTTCCTCTATATGATTTACAGACCACCTCAGTTTTCTTAGAATAAAAACTGAGATATTCGGAAAAACATTACTCAAAATATATATCATTGCTTTCCCTCGGTATTATTGCTTACCTCTTTGTATCTTACTTTTACTCTAATATATTTTTGTGAAAATTGTAAATATTGTAACCATGTTTTAAATATTTATGAAGTTACGAAATGTGTCAAGTCTTATGACATGCTCTTTATCACCTAAGTGATAGTTAGGAGTTCTGCAAATCGGGAAAACGACACGTTTGCAGCACACTCATATTTTGTGTATTTGCCTTCCGTAATTCCATGGTGAAAAAACGATTAAAAATCCACAGTTATGGGTACATAATCCACAGTTAAATCCACAGTTATGGCAACACAGAGAAAGTTTTCCATGTTTCCATTACAAGCTAATGTGTATTCGGTTTTGTTTCACACTATAAAAATGTCCAGTGAATTTAATTTCGAGCTATTAAATAATCATTTAAAAACACAATTAAATTTTATTTATTATGTGTATGTCTTTGCAGAATTGATGACATTATCTTAGTAATCTATAGATGTAAGAATTGACTCCAGGTTCGTATTTTGTGGGTGTTTATGTCTAAATTGATTGCATAGGGTTACATTGGTTAATGATATGGGATATATTAATAGGAATATACAAGTGGTCACATATAGGGGCTAATTTCTTTCATGTAGATGGCTTAGGATTACTTTCTATTAAGTGTGTGTGGCTTAGGATTTCTTTCTAATAATGTAGGTGGCTTAGGATTTCTTTCTGTTAGTGTTTATGGCTTAGGATTTCTTTCTATTTCGTGTAGTTGGCCTAGTTGCTCTTTCTATTTCGTGTAGTTGGCCTTGTTGTTCTTTCTATTTCGTGTAGTTGGCGTAGTTGTTCTTTCTATTAAGTGTAGGTGGCTTCGTTTGCAATGTCCAGATCTAATGTACGGGTTCTGTTTCGCACCGCGTCTTGTAACGCACGGCGAGAGCTGCAGGCTGATGTCGCGCGTGGTTCTGTGCAGGGCATCCGCGCGCGGCGCGCCAAGGTCGAGGCGCTTTCCGCCGCCGCCGCCGCCGCCGGCCCCGCCCCCACCGGCGCGGAGGAGACGCCGCCAGGTGAGTGGGGCCCCGTCGCCGTCACGCTCCGCGCATCACGTGTCGCCAGCGCCGGCTACGCTCGACGACACGGCGCGGCGCGACAGGGCACGGCGCTGCCTCCAAAGGCGCAGATTCTACGCGCGGAACCGCGGCGTGAACGTCGCCAGCTGCATATTAATCCCTTCCCCATCCCCATCCCCTTCCCCCTGGCCTGCAGTGCATAATTAAACGTTTTGGTGTTGGACACTACGGTCTAAATTCTGTCTCTCTCTTTCCCTCCCACTCTCCTCTCTCTCTCTCTCCTTATATATATATATATAATATATATATATATATATATATATATATATATATATATACAATATACATACATACATGTACAGAATGTACAGGTAGAGGGGTCATGCTTAAGATGGTGTTAAGAGCTTATTTTCAAAGTTTCCTCGTTTCCTTCCCCAGACATCTGCATATCACAAAGTCGGTTTAGTTACGCCATTTACGAGAGTTGCTTTTGTATTTCAGGATTAGAGAACAAAAACAAATATTAATCATCAAAAATCACTTTTTGTTTTTCAAAATGTTCCCATGAAGATCTATACACTTGACATGCGTTTGAACCAATTGTCGAAGCACTTTTGGCGCTCTTATTGAGGTATCTCCAAAACATCATTCTGAATGCAGCAACCGTTCTTCAGTTGTCCGAAAAACGTTGCCCTCTCAGTTTGTTTTTTACGTACGGGAATAAAAAGAAGTCATTCGGTGCCAAGTCAGGTATACGGCGGCATGACTCATCAAATCGATTTTTGGGTGCTCAAAAATGCAGTTGTTTGAGCCGATGTGTGAGAGCTCGCATTGTGTGGTGAAGAGTGATCCGTCTTAGGGTTTCTGATTCTTGGAAGAGACTGGCAACAAATCGTTGTGTACCACTCAGAATTGCCTGTTCTCGTTGATCTAGTGGTACGGTTGCGACATGTCGCAGTTTTTTCCGAAAAAACAGGCGACATCTGTTTGGAAGTGCTTCGTGCGCGAACAACTTTTGTTGGATTTTGCTCATCTTGAAACACCCATACAGTCGACTGCTGTTTACTTTCGAGCTCATACGCGTAAATTCACATTCATCACCTGTCACGATGTCATAGCGGTTTTTCGAAGCACCGCGATCGTATTTTTGAATTTCTTTCAAGCAATCGCACGACCCTTTTTTGAGAGATCGACATTGTGTGGGTCACGCGAACAAATTTTTTTGAAAGTAAATGTTCATGCAATATTAAATGTATGCTGATCCCACTAATGCCCAAGGTTGTCTCAATTTCACGATAGGTCACATGACGATCTTTGCAATATCCGTTCACGCACAGCATCAATGGTTTTCGGAACAACAACTGATTTTGGAGGACCTTCGCGAAATTCGTCTTGGAGTGAACTACGACCACGATTGAATTCACCATATAATCGATAAACACTGGTTCTTGATGGAGCTTTATCGCCAAAAATTGAATTAGGTTCATCCATGCACTGATGCTGAGTTAATCCACGTCGAAAGTTGTAAAAAATAAACGCACGAAAATGTACACGATTTAATTCCATTTCTGGGTCAAGATGAATCTTTTAAGTTACTGTTTATAACACAAATAGCGCTCGAATGTCAAAACGTTCAAAGTACGTATAACTTCAAAACGTCCAACTTTACGATAGAGCTGTCAGTTGCCAGATTGCAACACCAGGGTGGCCAAATCCCGAAACATAAATAGCAACCTTCGTATAACTCAAGAACGCCTGAATCAATTTTAGTTATATCTGATTTGTTGGATTCATCTCCGCCTCGATTAGAAGAATAACCATTAAAATATCGAAAAATCCACTAGATGGTGCTGTAGAACATAACTAAATATTGATGTCAAATACAACTCGCAAGATTTTTTTGCATTCATATGTTGAAATAAATCCTAAAGAAAGCGTTCTAGGGCATTAAAAACAACAATTTTTAAGAAACATTTCTCACACCGTAATCTTCAGTAGATATTTTTGAACATTTTAGTACATTTTTGCTGGGGAGAGAAGGAGAGAAAGTGAGAGTAGGAGGAGCGAGAGGGAGACGAAGAGAGAGAATGGGAGATGAATGGCTGAACAACGCCTTCCGGATTCCGCTAGTTTCAAATACAATTACAGTGGGACGTCTATTAAAGCATAACGTCAATTATCCGAAACGTCAAAAGCTGAATTCATATTTTCTCTAAATAATTATTTACTTTATTACGTACCGTATACAATATGTATTACGAGTACATTTACTTTTAAAACTGAATATTGAGAATGATTCCCGATATGTGATACAATGAACGAGATACTTTACTTTAGTCAATCATCTGACTTCAGTGAACGTTTGCAATTCCTACAACAAATGCTTAACAATTCGGAATGTTTATTATTACCATAAAAATGCTTTTCAGCACTTTTAAGTGCAAGAGAACACACGGTACAGTGTCAAACAACTGATCGTAAATGCTTACCAGCTGTCACTCACTCGGAATGTTCATTATTTATAAACATTATACAAACAGCTTTTTATGCAAACTTGCTATTTTATGTTCGGTTATCCGAATTATCCAATTTCGTAACTATACCTTCCCCCAGTTCGTTGGGATAATTGATATCTCACTATTGCAATATCTTAAATACGATTAGTTTGCTCTTATTTTTATAGAAGTGAATATCCAATACTTTTAACAGAAAATGTTCAAAATACATATGCCCTTGCCAAACCTCAAAAAATAAAAATATTTAAAAGAAACGTGCAGAAAATGATTGTTGTATAGAGATAAATAGATGAATTATTAGTTCTTAAATATATAAAATGTCCTGTCAGTTATATAGGGATCAGCTGTCGGCTTCACATTGTGTCCACCTGATATAGAGCAGTAACTCTGAAGGAACTTTTTGCCAGGTCAGGAAACAAATGAACGTCATGCAGGATGATGATACTGTAGTGAGATAGTGATGAATCCATTTACAAATAATCTAAATGTAAACAAACGCACTGACAAAATTAGTGCATGAACACAACATGCGTTTAATATACCAGCAGTGGCCAAGTAGTAGCTATCAAAGCGGTCCCTACTTATAGTACATGAATGGCATTGGTATGCTACTGTCTCCTACACTACCCTTAATCCATGAACATGTTCCAACCCAACACAGAAGCGGGAGTGGTGTGGGCGTGGGCGTGGGCGTGGGCGTGCCTGTGGCGACCGCGCTCTTGTGTTCGCAGGGCGAGGCGCGCGCCGCGGCACGGCCTTTCTGGACCTGCTGCTGCGACAGCAGAGCGGCGGCGCGCGCATGGCGGACGGCGAGATCGCCGAGGAGCTGGACACGCTCATGTTCACCGTAAGTGCCTCTCGCGGTCGCTCCGGCGACGCCGTTCACCTTGAGGGTCGACTCATTACTGAACTAGGGCGATGGAGATCTCTTCTTTACGACCACCCTCTTCGTGGTGGGGTATCACTGTAGTGGTTTGCTGTTGTCTTTCACTGTGTGAATGGTAAAAGAGTTGATATTTAAGTGGTGATGACTGATGAATTTTAATGAATTGGGAGAGTGGTATTGAGTAATTAGAAAGAATTTGACGCTTGTACCAGCAAACGCGCTGTAGAACTAAACCACACATAAAGATTTTCCAAAAAGAAAAACCCTTCTGGAACTCACCCTTATCAAGAACAAATGAAAGGCTATTGCGTAACAAGGCAATGATTTATATATTTTAACAATATCTTTATGAATACCGCTATGACAGTATAATTTAATACAGTATAATATAGTATTGTTTTACATATGGATACTCACTAGACACGGTACTTACATAACAAGAACATCAAAACGTTGCTTTTCCATGACACAACACCTGAATACTATGACGGTCCATTCGGACGCATCCCAATCATTATTTTAAAAAATCACCAAGATAACTAAAATTGACACATTAACAAAAAGACAAACAGTCGAGGATACAAGGGTAGAAGTCTAATAAGTTATTTATTTCTAAAAATCTAAAGAACTGTGTTGTTAGCAGACCTGTGAAGAGTAAATAAATAAACCAAGAACTTTAAGAAAATATATACACAATCACTAGAACTCTAGGTTACTATAGAATAATGGAAAACTTTTATTTGATGAATGTTTGGCAATTGAATGTTTTATAAGCAATGGGCGATTACACAAACATTTAGAAGATAACAATAATAAGAATTTCGAAAAGAGAAAGATAATTAAATTTATTATTTGGATTTTAGTTGGAAATTATTACAATGAAGAAATTAAGGAAATCTAAAAATTGGAATATAAAAATGTACAGCGAGTTTGAGAGAAGAGAAGAGCTGTCTTTTGTTTTCAAACTGCCCGGTGAAGAGGAACGGGGCAACAATGCATTAAACAGTCGGTTTGGCGATCTTGGGTGATAACTCAATTTTGCAATTTCATAGATACGTACAGTTTGAGAACAATTCGCATTTTTCAAAAACGAAACTTTTATTTTTCTATTCTTCCAAATTCCTGGATATGTAATGATACCATAGACACCTCCTATAGTGCCAGAGGATGCGTAGTTTTATTGTAAATTCCTGCTCCGGCTGGAAATTGGTAATATAGGTTATTCACACCTTTCACAACAGTTTTGTTTCTTTAGCGTATTTTGAGAGTATTTTCTACGTAAGGTACAAATCAAATAATTTCACGCATAAAATATAAAGAATTGTTTTCTACAATAGCATAAAAGTTCTTCTATTACGAATTATTATTGTTGTTGTTGTTATTATTATTATTTTTATATTATTATGTTAATTATTATTTGTTTCATCACCACTCAAGATGGAATCAATCTGTGGTATGTATACTGTCGTTTAATTGGCAAAAATACTCATTCTCGTTACCGATTGTATAACACGAAATCGTGGTACAGCAACATACGATAGCGAAACAGTGTAGTTCCCTACGAGTTTTTTTTTCGGTAACTGGTACCTCATGATTATAATTACTGATTTCAAAATAGAGAATGGAAATTGTTTATTAGTAGATTTATACATGCACAGATAGTTTTAAAACTGATAATTTGAAAATGTTTAGTACATTGTATTTTTTTAAAGCGACATTTTTTGTGTGTACCATCCGGTGGGATACACTATAATTGTCATTGTTGAAATGACCTGAGTTGCGTGATTTCACAGTGGGCTTGTTCCGAAGTCATTTTTAACGTTTGCGACGTCACAACGGGTTTGGACAGTATGAATTGAGCGTTGAGATATCATTGCGATGAGTCATGAAGATGGATTAGATAGTGGAATGAATAATACAATTGTTGTTTGGAAATGTGTGAAATTCTAGAAAAAATGCCTCGAACAAAACTTTCTGTACCACAAGTTTCTCAATGCTCTCAATGAAAACTAACTTCTACAGTATTGACCTTCTCTCTGGCAAACTCTACACAGAGCGGCGCACTCCCGTTACCTTTTTGATTTGAAAATTGTTCTTAAACAAAACGTATTTTGTAGCTCGTCCACTATTTCATTGAGTTGAAATATTATGTTATATCTAATTGATTTGTGGTTTGATTATAATTAATAGAAGTTAGAATTGAATTGATCTTCATCTGGAGATTTTATACTGTATAATATGTTGATGACCCTAATGCAATATTTATTTACCTTACTTATGAGTTATTTCTTTTTAGGTATAAGAAAATGAAAGCTTCTCTTTATTGTGAACACATATCGCATAATGCATTGTTTCTTCACTCTCACCCATCATTATAACTGATAGTAAATTGTTTTTTTTTTAATTTCTGGTGCAAGAAGGTTTATCTTCGCATGCATTCTTCGCCTGTGCTTTTGTCTTGGCATCTCACGATGAATGGGAGATGTCGCCGCATGGAATGAAAGTTTGCTCAGAAAACATCTCCGCTTTGCAAGGCCGCATACGGTGACGTCTTATTAAGCTCCGCGGCAGCTGTCAAACGAGGAAGTGGGGCTTTTGCAACGTGTTTCGGTTTGCACACTGCACTCTATCTGTTTGCTCCATCTTACCTATTTGCAGAGAGGTGTTAACGGAAGACCACACTTCGTTATTCCTTCTTTAATAGCTGAACTAAACAGTCTCTTTTATTTAGTTCAGGAGAAAAACGCGTCGTGTTAACTTTTGTACAAATTGATATACAGCATTGCTTCGTGCAAATACGTTAGTCTGAAGCAACGTTCAGTTGAATGATAATTAATAATTCTTGTATTTGTGTGCGACAGTAAACAAGTGGCCTAGAATAATAATAATAATAATAATAATAATAATAATAATAATATAATACATGCTTATATTATGTAGTATTAGTTACATTTTATAAATAGCAACCACTAGGTATATTTTCTTGATAACATGGCATGGAAATCTCTTGCAGGGTTTCGATACTGTCAAGTTATCTGTAGGCTTTGCCCTCTACGCTCTTGGAAACAACCCATCAGTTCAGGTAACATGCATTCTGTTGTTAATCGTAATGCTAACTGCATGCTACAAAAATTAGAAACCTGTTTTTAAATCCTTCACATTTACTTTTAGGAGAAAGTTATTCAAGAGCTGGAAAAAATATTTGATATAACGGAGCCGATCGATGTTACTCCTGAATCATTAAGGCAATTATCGTACTTGGAGCAAGTTATTAAAGAGACCTTGCGTCTTTATCCTCCAGTTTGGTTCTTCGCCCGCAAATCTGGAGTGGATGTGCCTCTAGTCTCTTGTAAGATTGGTGATACAAACAGCAGTACTTTAGTAGATCTGATTCACCATCACTTGAAAAAATACTACATTTTAAACAGAATTAATGAAAATGCTCTTCATTCGCTTATTTAAACGTTTCCATAGTTAATTTCTTGTTCATTCATGTAGGTAGATTAAGCATCTTGCAATTTAAGTTTTCAGTAATTTCTTGGAACTTTTTATTAAATTTTAAACTAACTTTCCATGCTGATGCTGAAATAGCAAAGATCGCAAAGAGATATTTTATTACGACCACTTTTTTAATATATTGTTTTATTTTGGCTACATTAATAATATATTTGATTCTTAAATAAATTACTTAACTATTATTAAAGACGTACTTTAACATAATTACGGTGCATGCAGTTCACTTAAGGTGTAGAAGTCCAGTTTTTACATTTAGGAGGTGATGGAATTATTTCATCGAAATACTCTATTTATTTACGTGATGTATAATTTATTTGGAATATTTAAAATCCAAAAACTCGTTACAGGTGACTTGGTTATTCCTGCTCAGAGCAATGTAATTATACCGATAAAAGCCATACATATGGATCCCAGTCTCTATCCCAATCCGGAAGTTTTTGATCCTGAACGTTTTTCTCCCGAGGGCGCTGCTGTACGTCATCCGTATGGATTTCTTCCTTTTGGATCTGGACAACGCATATGCATTGGTTGGTATTGTTCTTTACAAAAAATATAATCAATTGTAAATAGTGTACTTCAATTCGCCTTACTGCTTACTTTTAAAGAATTACAATCGGTTCAGGGATTGGTCACCCACGTGCTCCAGCAACTCCATGTCGAGATGGGGTAGAGGCTTGAAATAACACATTATCTGTATTGTTGCCCTGTTACTACTGTTGTACTGTTACTAAGCCCTGATAAAGAAATTATATATTTCGAAACAGTGGCGTATCTAATTGTTTCTCTAACTACATTGGCCAATCCCGTGAACCGATTTCAATTCTTTATTCTTCAATGGTTGTGATTATACAATTGTGTTTTCTTTTATAACTCAATAAACAATGTCTCGCGCGTCCGGCTATTTCGGGACTCGAGATTTCATTAAATTAAAAATATATGGTGGGAACAAATACCTTCACTACTATACATTGTGAAAAACAATAATTTTAGTTCAGCATATGAAAATGTTTCATAAAAGTTTTAATCACCTAAAATATCAACCAACGAATTACACTCGCGTGTCGTTTTCATAATAGTTTGCATAACACAGTTATTTAAATACTTGTAAATACGAATAATAACAATATAAACTTATCTAATTTTTAATTATTCACACAGAGTAAACAAAATATCTTATAATCTCGTTTACGCTGGTCTTTCCGCATTTCTTCTCCTCTACAATTAATTTCATCTGCTTGTATTTCTAAAAACTCTCTAAGATACATTGTGATTGGCTAGACACTAATTCATTTAGGTAAATCCATTGTTTTTTCTATTGTACTACTTTATGACTTAAATATTTCCCCTATGTAGCGTTGTGTAGTCTACCATCTCAGCACTTTGGTATCAAAGTAAAATTTAATTTTTGGAACAACAGTATTCATAAAATACTGACTCCTTTTAACGTATGACGTGTTGATTACCTCAGTATATTTATTTCAGTACAAATATTTCTTGCGAATTAATACTTTCGAGTCGACCTATATAGATGGCCGAGGTTGCTAAGAGCTTGTGTTGGCTCGCCGGCCCGCTTTGGTCCGAACGGTCGCGGTTCGAGTCGCACCTTGGGAATGATTGTCTGCCCCTTGTCTCTCATGTATGTGTTGTCGGGGAGGGCCTCGCGTTCTGCTGATCACAGATACGAGGAGCTTTCAAAGTGTGTTAATGTCCAGTGTATAGTAACATATGCGTCCCATGGGGTTCGTGTTAATATAATAGTGATATGAGCTCCTTCTCCAATACCAGCTTTGTTACTGGCAGTTTTGTATGACACAAAATAATACATTCTTTATATTGTCCATATATTGTGATTTTTCTCTTTTTGTTCAAAGATGGTCTGTTTCGTTAATCGGCGATGCACAATGCTCACATCAGATAACATACTTGATGGATTTTTTTGCAAACATTGTGTGCATTACTTAGAACGTTGAAACTCTTGAATGCATAATCTTTTATTTCAGGAAGAAGATACGCTATGCTAGAAGCGAAAACGGTTCTCGCCAAGGTACTATGGAATTACGAAGTAAGGCGGGATCCTTCATATAAACCCGAATATACTTGGGGCATAACTTCGCCGCCGACAAACGGACTACGGATCAGCCTCTGCGAACGAACAAGGTGATTTTGGCCGTATTTAAGTAGACAGGCGATTTTGTGCCAATTCATCTTAAGCTCTTCATATTGTGTCAGTAGCTTCTCTTAAATTTCGAACTAATGAAACTACAAAGTTAAACGTACAATAGAATTAATTAATTATGTAATAAACACTTCCGTATGCGCGCTATTATTCTTAACTAATCTTAGTAACCTGTTTAGTGAAGATTCAGCAGACCAAGCATAGGGCCTGCAGCTTAAGATAAAACAACACTCATAGTTTTGTTAATGTGTAAAGTTAATGTTTTCTATGCTTACAAACTTCTCATTGAACAAAATATAATAAATCGGTAATGATGCTATTTTTCTTTGTATTCACTTCGACGGTATAAAACGTTTTTTCCTAAATATTTAATTACATTCTTAAATTAAATGACAATCTTGTGTAAAAATTGTTATTTTGTATTATTAATGTAACAGAATGTATGTGCAATAATATCGTTAATATCAAATTGAAACAATAAATCCACGAAACATAAATGAAAATCCATTTATTTGAAGGTGTGAATGTTCTGTTAGGTTCGATAACTAAATGTAACAGACGTTTTGAGTTGTATCATTAGCAAGATCTGGATTATAATGTCATGCAGTGTTGAAATGTTACTTCGAAGACATTAGCATTTTTTATACAAGATCTGATGATATATCTCGGATAATTCGAAAAGTAGATAATATTTTTGCTCAATTTTTTTCGTTTTCCATTAAGATATCGTAGATTGCCTTCCACATCATGCACACAGATACACAGGCGCGGAAATTCTGAAATATCAGTTAAGCTGGTAGGGAGGTTCAGAGACAAGGGACTTTTACTAGAAAAGTCTTCATGAACTTGGATATCGATTGAAAGTAGGTGAACATTTTTCTTCTGTAATTGACTTTTCATCTCTCATTCAATGCTATAAATTGCTGCAATAGTCCTCGGGAACAATGCAAGTCTATATTCTTTGCAACACGTAATATAACAGAATTTTAATCTACATCCTACCATTAATATGCTCAGAATGCTGAGTCACCTTCAACATTAGTAAAACAAGACGTACTAAATTTTCCCCTAGATATCTATGAAGCAAAACAACTGATGTGGTAATACGTGCTTTTAACTGTATTGACAGCGTCAGTTATCAAACTGTAAGAACAAAGAGCCATTAGGAAAGCGATTTGCACATTTTCCTAGTGTTAGTGTAGGGTTTTAAGAGATTGCATCGTATGAAGTTTTTGGAGGCACGAGACTTTCAATCACTCTACAAATGCAGCAAAAATCTTGTTTAAGTAAATAATTATTCTAATACTGGCTAAACTCCTGGTAGGAATAATAATAACAATATAATAATAATAATAATAATAATTTATTTCTGAAAATTAGCTTACGCTTGGTGAGAGTTAAGCAACAATTAGTACAAATATAAAAAATTAAAAGAAAAAACACAAATTAATAAATATATAATGTATTAGTGTAGTAATTGGTATGTAACATGCGTATTTCAAGGCTTACAACATCCACAATGAGTATTTTTCATCACCAGGCTGGATTAAAGGAAAGAAATCAGTCTAAATTATATAAACAAAATATCATGCACTGATCTTTTGACAGAGCAAAACTTAGCAACGAACGATGTGGTACTTCCGGAGGGGTGAACTTGAGATTAATAAAGAATGGACGCAAATGAAGGTAAGGAATTGTCAGCCGTGGACCTCATGAAACTTTCAAGTACTTCCATTAAAGAACAGAGGATGCTAACTGGAGAAAACTCTGCCACCCAAAGACTCCCACACCCTGACTCCAAGTTGTTTTCATTTGAAATGTCGGTAAGGAGAGCCCAGAGTTTACCTTTAATAGAGAAACCAGCGAAAGTCGAACGTAATGGCTCAGTTTGGAATTGAGTCTCCCCTTCTGAGTGTTGTATGAATGAATAATAATATAAGCGAGGAGAAGCAGGTATAAGTATTTAAATATGTAAAACTGAGACGACAATACTCTTTAATTAATCCATTAATTATATTTGTAGAACTTTCTCATTATCATTGTCATATCAGTCGAGGGGTCAGGGAGAGTATTAAATACAAACAAGCTCTCCTTAAAACGTCGAGTTCTTTTTCTTCTTAGCTGTGAAATCAGAGTTTAACGCTGCCTTTTTGCTTTCTGATTTTGAGAGGCAGAAAGGGGCTTACGGTGTCTTGGGGCCCATAACGACACACTTTATCGAATTTTCTGTTGCGGAGTCGAAGGAAAGAGAAGAAAACTCGTCTCCAGAAAAATGTTGCATTTAACGAGCACCGAAAATGAGCGTTGACAGACAAGAGAATATCTAATGGCGAATACTTTGATTTATTACAAGGTAGAAAGTGCGGGAATAATTGAAAAGTGTTGAAAATTAAGGAAAAAAGGTTGACGTTAGAAAGATGAGAATGTCACAAAGAGATAGGAGTAAAGCAAGTGTTAAGACAGACAACAATATGGATGACTAAAATTCTTGTTTATAACATTCCAATAGCTTTTTGGGGATCACAAAGGGTCAATTTAATGTTTTTCGAATGACTGATCGAAATTACTTTTTTTACTCCTATTTTTATTTAAATTTGATCATCATTAAAATATTTATTTTACCCAATGGGCCTACCTGCAAATTATAAAAAAATATATCAATTCGTTTGAATACAAATATACACTGAAGAGCCAAAAAACTGATACAGCCATGCGTATTGGAATAAAGAGATGTGGAACCAATCAGAATACGGCGCTCCGGTCAGCAGCGACTACATACGACAACCAAAGTCTGACACGGTTGTTAGATCGTTTGTTATAGTCTATGCATAGTCTGCGTTTTGAGTGTGATCGTGGTGTTATAGTCTACGCAAGAGAGATGTGGCATAGAATCTCCAAGGTGACGATGTAATTTGTATTTTCCCATACTACAATTTTACAAGTGTACCGTGAATATCGGGAATACGGTAAAGTATCAAACCCCCGGTATCGCTGCGACCGATCGTGCAAAAACGGGACCGACGACAACCGCCAAAAAATACACGTGGCAGAAGTGCAATCCTTCCGCTAATTTCTGAAGATTTCATTGCTGGACCACCAACAGCTGACAGCGTGCGATCCATTTAACGAGACATTATGGATACCGGGTTTCGGAGCTGAAGGCCCACTCGTGAACCCTTGATGACTGCACGACACAATACTTTACGCCTGGACCCGTCAACACCGACTTTGGACTGTTGCTGACTGAAAACACGTTGTCTGGTCTGACGAGTCTCGTTTCATATTGTATGGAGCTTATGATCGTGTACGATTATGGCGACAACCTCGTGAATCCATTGACCGTACATGCAAACAGGGGACTATTCAAGCAGATAGAGATTCTGTGATGGTATCGCGCGTGTGCAGTAGAAGTGATATGGGACCCCCTGATACGTTTAGATACGACTCTCACAGGTGACATATACGTAAGCATCCTGTCTGATCACATGCACCCATTCGTGTCCATTGTGAATCCCGACGGACTTGGGCAATTCCAACAGGACAATGCGACAAGTTACGTGGTCAGAATTGCTACAGAGTGGCTCCAGGAACACACTTCTGAATTTAAACTCGTTAAATGACCTCCTAAAACTCCAAATATGAAGATTATTGAGCATATCTAGCATGCCTTGCAACGTGCTGTTTAGAGGACACCTCCATCCTTTCATACTGTTACGAGTTTATGGACAGCTTTGCAGGATTCGTGGTGTCAATTACCTCCAGCACTACTTCAGACATAAATCGAGCCCGGACGTCGTGTGCTTGTGCGGGCTGCGGCGCTTGTGCGGGCGGCCCTGCACGATATATGGCGGGTGTATGGACGGTTTTTTTACTCTTCAGTGTATTTGCAAATTATTTATAATACTTTTCTAGCACATACAAATGTTACAACCACTAAAATATGTTCTTGTCTATTGCAATATTGTCTATTGTTGCTTGAAAGCTGTAACTTTCTAAAAGTAATCAGTGGAGAAAAGAGGATTCTTAAAAAAATGTCGCTTCAATATGCGCACGTTTTGTTGGGCTCTCCTTTTGCTAATAGTAGTACTCGTAGTAGTAGGCTAAGGAGTGTGCTGCTATTTTGTTAGCAATTCTATGAAATCAAATCTGTAGTCCTTTTACCAATGTAAGAAAGTTTTCTATTACTCGAGAGCAAATGGAACTAGTTTTCAAAACATTGCTAATCTTCCTTTTGTGATACCTTTATTCATCACTCAACTACGTAAAGTAAAAGTATGAAGTAGGGATTTTGGAGCTCACAAAGCGTGCGGATGTTATACTTCTGCACATACGTCACATACTGTTACTGTTCTTTGATGATAAATAAATCAACACATCCACCTCGACAATCAAGTTTGAGAATCTAGCTAGGGTGCTAGAAGTGTAGAAATGACTTTGCCTTAAACATTCTTCTACACGAGTACATCAGTGTAAAATATATTTAAATTAAAAAGTTTCGGATAGTTCCAAAGCTTGTATTCAAAATAAACAAATCAGGTCTATATAATTTATTTTTGACTCTACCGGTCGAAATTCGAAAGCAACCAATAGGTTTCTTTTAGCCATAATGTTTGTTTTCCTCATGAAAAGCAATATATAATAAATCTAAAATATCTAGATTGAATATTTTTAAATAATTGGTAAAACATCTACAGATAGAAACACCAAAATGTAATGCCATCAAGGGAAGTTCTAATTAAAATATTATTATCTTCCAAATTATGTCCATTATTTTATATAAGAGCAATTTATTATTTTTAAATTCATAAAGATGTACTTCAGAATTAAGAATTTAAGTTGTAAGGATTCCCAGATCTTCAACATTGATTAAATCATTTTAGGATATG